TCCTGCAGCCTGCTCCCCTCCTCCCATGCACACACACGTGCGCGCGCACACACATGCACACACGCGTGAATGCCGGGCATCAGCCACATCGGTTCCTCCCAAGCTGCGGAGACCGCTTCCCCGGAAGCTCTGAGCCTGGCCGAGCTTCAGCGGCCGCCGCAACTGATGCCAACACGGCCTGTGTGGGGCTGGGGCGCCGGGAACGCGGGCAGCAGCTCGGCGGAGCCCGGGTGGCAGCGGCACGCTCGGAAGCCACCAGGGTGTTCCGCAGACGCCTACTGTCCTTTAGAGAAAGGCTTGGCTGGAAGTAGCATGCCTAACCTAAAGCAAATACAGTCCCTCCTGTAAAACCTCCCCTTCCCCAAACAAAACCCCAAGTCAGAAGCGACGGCGCCAGGCGCTCGCAGCGAGAGGCCAGACTGCGGCCTGGGGCGGGGCTGCGTGCGCCCTGGACGTGGCTCCCAAGTGCGCACCTGGCTGCACGTTCCCGGGGATTCGCAGGGGGTTGTGTCCACCTGGGAGGGACTTGCAGGGGGTCCAAGACCGGAACGCAGGGGCAGAGGTGGGCAGAAGTGTCAGAGCAAGAGAGAGGGGGCCTGGGAGCTGACCCTGCTCCTCCAAACAGGCAAGTCCGTGGAGGCCCGTTTTGCCTTGGCGGTGCACCGTGTCTGGAGGGAGGGAGGAGAGGCCGCGACGTGGGGAGAGAAGAAGGGCGCGGGGCCCCGAGTCCACTCCTGTGTGCACACAGACGCTCTTGTCCTCCTCCCACAGCCACTCCCAGAACAGCCGCGGGCCGTGCAGCGTCCTCCCACACGCACCCGCTCGTATATTCTGTTTTGTTGTATCTTTCAGGTCGATAAATAAATGTGTAATAGTTAATGTGAAGACACATCAGAGTAATAACAATGGGACGAAATCAAAGGATTATCCATCTCTGTTAGTAACCACTGAATAACAATGTTGCGGCGTGATTGATAGCCCGCTTCATTTTATGACTTTTCTATTGGTCTTGATTTTTATAGCAGTATAAACAAACTAAATCATTTCTTCCAAGACTTCAGAGCATAAGCATCTTGGGGGGGGTGGATAAAGGAAAGAAAAAAAAAAAAGAAAGGGAAATCTGAGAGTGGGAGGGGTGACGGGGTGGTGTAGGGGCGTCGAGGTGGGGAGCGTGCAAGCTGGAGCTGGAGCCGGATGTCAGGAGCCGGCTGCCAGCAGGCGTGGCGAGGAAAACGACAATCCTCTGGATGTAAAATGCTCGTCCCCGCGCCCGGTTCCCTCTCGGCAGCTCGTTCTGGCCAATGTCTGAATCCACCTGGGCAGCTCCTGAGATGTATTTACCAGAGTTTTATTCCCTGTCATCTTCCCACGTTCCTGGGGCAGCCGGGAAAGTGCCGGTCAGGCCCATTGCTATTGATAATTTAAGGCATTTCCCACATGATCATGTGAACTGAAGTCCCTAACAAGGCGAGGCTTTAGCGCAATGGCCCCCAAATCTTCGGAATGACAAGAATGTCTTCAGAAATCACTTCAAAGCAAAGTAAAAGGATTTTCTATGACGGATCCAGTGATTTTTCCTCAATAAATAGGTTTTAGATTGTTACACACACGTAGAAGTGGAACAAAGGGAACTACCAGAAAATATATTGGTTGCCCCTAATAAAATTTATTTAGACAGTTTACTTCTCATAAAAAATAGAGATTGAATTTTGTACAAGAGCCTGCCAAGGGGCGATGCACAGGGAAATCATTTTTTTTTTCTTTCTCCTCTTTTCCCCTTCTCCCTTTTAACGAAGCACAAGGAGCATTTAGAGGCCAGGGAACCCGCTCCTGCTCCCGACCGGCCGAGCGCCCAGACCGAGCCCGAGAACTTTGTAGTTTTGAGAGAATGGGCTTTCTGGGATATATTTATATATATTAAATCAAAACCTTGATGGCTGATTATGTAAACTACAAGCACAGCGACTACCAAATTGTGTCTCTCCTCCTGCTTTGCCATCCTGGTCCAGAGAAAGATTTAGAAATACAGTATAGTCGGATGCGGAGGTGACTGGGGTGGGAGATCCTGGCAGCAAGTGCCCTAATGATGGATTTATGCTAATTAGGTTTGTAATTCTGATTTTCTCTCTAATTGTATTTCTGTGCTCATTGTGAATCTTTTGTAGAGACAGACAGAAAGCATAAAAATTTATACTAGGTGCTCCTGAAGAATTGGGTCATGTGCCCAGCTCCCTGATTGTTTATTCCACTTACAGAAACCTCGGGTGTTTATTAAATGTAACTTTCGGCCGCCTGGGTTGTTTGTAAACTGCTCTCTTTTCTTTGCAGACAGTGGGCTGAAATATGGCGCGTTATTATTCACATTCCTGCTATTAAATGCTGAATTGTAACATTGCTCCCTTTAATGAGGAGCGCCTCCCTCAATAATTAACGATCTCACGTTTTCCTATTTTCTTGCCTGATGAAAAGAATCAATTTTAATTCTTGGTAAATTACAGCCATGCTTTTGGGTATTATTTGCTTACAGAAAACAAATCAAGTGACTTGAACAATCCTGTTTACTTTTCCAGATACGCAATAACCCAAACGCAGTGGCAAATCAGATCGCGTTCCTCAGGCCTACCTTAGAACTTCAAAAAGAATAAAGAGTGGGGGGCAAATCCTCGAGAGAAAAAAGAAACAGGAAGCTCTCAGTCCACTGTGTCTGAAACAAAGGTGACCACTTTCTCCTATATCTTACCCCAGGTTCCAGAATGGAAGCTCCCCCAGCCCCAAACCTCATCGCCCCGCCCCCGTCGGGGACAGGGGTCAGTGGTCCACAACTCGCCACGCTAGAGTTTGGGACTGCTTGATGTATGGCTCGTTTGAAGGGACTCAATTTGAGGGTGGATGAGTGGAAGGAAGGAGATCTGGGAGGGCAGCCAAGTCTCTGGGAAAGGGTGACAGGCACTTCCACACTCTTCTGCATAAAAGAACTCTCTTGAGGTTCCCCGCAAAAGAGACCACAGCCAAAGAGGCTTTGGCTGAGTGCTCCTGCCTGGCCACTGCGAAAGCCCCCTCGGCTCGCCTTCCGGCGGCGGCTCTCGGACGCAAAGTGAGCGCCTCTAACCCCTAGCCTACCTGGCTTGGGGCTAGCCCCAAACTTGCCTGCTCCAGGCCTCCCTAGGCCGGGAGCGCGGAGACTCTGGGCAGCTCTCAGCCAGGGTTGTCCCTTGGATGTCGCTGCGGGAGCCCAGGGCCGCAAAAACTCTTTGCGAACAGGACCCGGGCTCCCCAGCCTGTGAACTAGAAGCCAAGGCCCCACACTCCAGGCTTCTTTTTCTTTAAGCCCTGGGAGCGGGGGCTGCGTGTTCGTGACGCGTGTACTTCTGCGAGCGCTTGTGTGAGCGGCGTGTGTCCACTGCCTGCTCACCCGAACCTCGGGCATGTGCCGGGAGCGACGGAGCGGCGGAAAACTCGCCCGGAAAGGGTCTGGTGTCCTACCCTCTTCCTGGAAGCCTGTGGTGATACAGGAGCACTACATAATTTTTTTTTTCTCCTGCAATAAACAGTTTCCCATACATTCCCATACATCCCATATATTGCAAACATATAGTTTACAAACTATAACCATGAAGCCCACCTGCGTGACTCTTCGTGGGCGCTGGGGCCTGTCCCTTGCTTTTTTTTTTTTTTTCCTATCCTTGCCTTCTGACAATTAACATCAGCGGCCCTCAACGCAGAGAGCTCTACACAAAACAATGACGGATCAGAACCTGCCTCCTGATTCCGTATCTCCTCTTTTTTTGCCTTTAGCCCTGTAATTTTAATGGCCCCAATTAGCCACACGGAATACAATAAGCGACATAGAGATTTTATTTGTATGTGTTAAGTTCGCTGCTTCTCTGATTTCTATTTACTCAGGATAAATAATCATATATCAGTTATTCAGTTAGGTGACAGGGCTAGTAATTGGAATAAAAAGAAAAACATCTCATCCTTATCTCTTTCTATAACTAGATATAGCGCTAATAAGACTGCATCAATCTTATCTAGCAAATAAATAAAATAGACAAACAAACAAATTCGCCTCCAACAAGTTAATGCGGTGTATCTGAGTGGAAAGTAGATATTTTCACGCATTCTGGAGATGAGGAGTGACTTTTAATAAAATCACAAGAAAAGCAAATGTAATTCTGTAAGCCATTTCTTGGAGCCGCCGGCGCCCGCCCCTCCCCCCTCGCTCCCCGCCGGGCTCCCCGGTCCTAGCCTTTTCCTTTTCCTATGCAGTTAGTCCCAGCTTACGACTGCCACCGGGCTAGGTTTTTCTGGCTACTTTACACTTTGGGGTGGAGTAGGGGAGGGAGATATAATTCTATAGGTAATGAGCCTTCCTCAGAACTTTCTCTTTCCCTCTCTTTCCCTTCTTTCGTTATCATTCTGCCTTAACGAAGGCTCTTCCTTTTTCCTCTTTCCTCACTCCTTTTTTTCCTCTTCCCTTTATTCTCTCTTCCTCCTTTCTCTTTTCTGTTTTCTGCCTTTTCATCTTCTCACTCTTTCCTCTCATTCTCTTTCCGCTCTCTCTCTTTGCCTCCGTCCTTCGTGCCCTCTTTATTTCCTTTTTCTCCCCATTTCTCTTTCTTTATCCCCTTTTCTCTATTCCCCTTCCTCTCTGCTTTCTTCTCCCTCCCTCCCTCCCTTTCTTTTCTCTCTACACCCCTTCCCTTGTCCCCTCCCCGCAGCCCGAGTGCGGCTAATTCCGGGCGTCTATATTCACTCAATTAGAGAAATCTACAGAGAAGATCGATCTTCCATCTGCAGACATGCCAGCTTAACAAATTAGATTCTTGTTTCGTGCAGGTGATTTGGTGACAGTTGGGGAATTAGAAGTAATAAGTTGTTGTGTTTGAGCCCAGGCCCCCGCCCCCCGTCCGCGCCCCTCCCCGCCCGCAGGCCCCGCCCCCGGGCCCGCCCCCAGGCCGAGCTCGCTGGGCCTTGGCCTCTCCCTAGTCCTCGCTGCGCGCGGCGCTCCAGGCAGACCGAGGGACAGGCTGCAGCGGGCCCGGCCGAAGGGGCCCGGGCCCGATCTCCGAGCCAAGATCCGCGGGGTGAGTGCGCCCGGAACCCCTTCTGCCCTGAGGCCCAGTGTGCCCTGGGCTTTGTACCCCCTCCTTGCCCCCTCCAGGCTCCCGGGAGGGGGGACCCCCGCATTCTCCCCCACCCCCGCTCCGCTCGGGCCAGTCCAGCCACCCTCCAGGGACAGCTCCAACCCGCTTCTGCCTGGCGTCCCCCCCGCCCCGGACCCCCATTCAGGCTGGTCGCTGGGACTTAGGAAAACTCCGGACCGTTATGCTCTGCGGGGTCCCCTCCCCCGCCTGGCCCCCAGCCCGACCTCCTCCCCCACCTCCTGGAGGCGGAGCCAGGCCTTGGGCAGCCTTCTGCCAACCCAGGGGCGCTCTGATAGGGGGCTTTGGCATCCTTCCGCTGGGAACCCGGACTGCGGTGTTGGGATTGGGATCCCTGTTCTCAGCCACCCCTCCCCCTCCAAACTCACAGAAAGTTTCTTTCTTTTTATTTGTCCCTGTACCCCTCGGGTCTGTGGATCCCAGGTTAATGTTGTACCTTGTTGGGGGGGTAATAAACTGGGGGATCAGGACAAGTGTATCAGCTCCCACCTTTCTATTTCCTGTTCCTGTCCCTAAGCTCCATGTCTCTATCCCCCATCATTGCCCACCAGACCCATACCTCAGCACCCCCTATTGTTGCCTCCAGAGTCCAGTGCTTCCCAGGATTCCTTCTCACAGTCTTGGGCAACAACCCAAGGTTGGGTCTTCCTGTGACTTCCTGGCTAGGGGTCCCAGCCACCCAAGTCCTGCCTGTTCTGTCCTAAGCCTCATCTCCATACCTTAAGGCTCCAGCAGACCCTCAGAGCAGATGTAAGCCCCAGCTGGAGGCTGTGCTCTTGCTGGCCTCCCCTGCATGTGGTGTCTCCCTCTGGCCTCAGTTTCCCCCTCTGAAATGGATGTGACCACTGGAATGATGTGGGTAAAGTGCCAAGTAGGGCTGGGCATGCAGTAGGTTTCTGATATACGTAGGGGCCCTCCCACGTTCCCAGGGTGGGGAGGAAGCTACCATCTTGGAAGATGACAGGCCTATGATGGGAGACACACAGAGTGTGGGGATGGCCCCGAGGGGGCCCTGATCCAGCCTGAGACGTCGGCGAGGGGGAGCTTCTTGGAAGAGATAACAGCTCAACTGAGACCTGTGGATGAGTGTGAAGGCTGAAGTTTGGTGGGGGAGGAGGAAGGGTGTGCTGGGTAGAAGGAATAGCATGTGCTCATACCCCTTTGTGAGCCAGAGGGCAGTGAGTAGGGGCACCCACGGGGCGCACAAGGCACTGGGGGCGCAACATGGTGGGGTCAGCAGTTCCGAAGGCTGGGGTTAGGAATCTGGATTTTAACGCTATTGGTGGGAGCCATGGAATGTTTGAGAGCAGAGGAGGGACAGAGTCACACCACCCCTCCCAGCCCCAGAGTGGCAGGTCAGGGCTGGGTGAAGGAAGGGTCCTGGGATGGGGGTCAAGAAGGGTCAAGATTCAGTCTAGGGTGGGGAGATCTGTGGCTGTGCCTTGGAGGATGAGTCCACAGGTGGGCTGGCTGGGGAAGGGTGTACCTGGTCTGGGCACCCGTGTTAAGAAAGGCCCAGAGGCCAGAGGCAGCCCAGTGCATCTGGGGAACCACCTTACCTGTTGGAAGAGGCAGCAGGGTGGGCCCAGGGCCACATCCTTCCGGGCCCAGAATGCCGAGCACAGGAGCTGGGAGCCCCGGTGGGTATGAGTGGGGCAGGAATGTACAGATCTTGGCATCGCAGGCTTCTCCATGGAGCTGGTGTGACAGACACACTGGCAGGGGCAAGCCTGGCAGCCCGGGCACCTAGGAGGTTGATTGCTGGTCTCTTGCCTCGGATCTCAGCCCAGCCCCATCTCCCCGCGCTGCCTGCCCCTCACCGGGCAGCTACCCCTCTCTGAGCTCATGTCCTCATCTGTCCAATAGAAGGACTCATGGGAAGCGTAGAAGAGGGCTCAGCACGTGGTGGGGGCTCCCGGCTGGCATTACCATTTCCTCCCTCTGGGACTGGGCCTGGCTCCCCATCCACACCTCCCATCCATTCCTGGCTGCTGCGACCCTTGGGGACAGCACCCAATACAAATCTATGGTTAATTAAAGGTGGATCCCTTGGCCGGTGTTAGCCCATTCTCGGAAGGTTGGCAGGGCTGGCCCCGCCCTGAGCCCTTTTCCTCGTGGGGGTGGGGGTGGGGGAGGAGACATCGAGGCCCCAGGAGGGAGAGGGGGTTGTCTGGAGCCACTTTGAGCCCACCGGTGACTACAGAGCTGGAGCTCAGACCTTCCTTGACACTTTGGGGACACAGCGATCCAGGAAGGCTGGAAGCCCAGGTCCTGCCCTGAGGGTCTGCCTTGGAAAAGCCATTCCAGGCAGCAGGACAGTCTGTGGGCCCAGAAGGGAGGGATTGTGGGGGTGGAAGGTTGTGCAGGATGGGGGGGTGCTTTCCCCTAAGCCCCTGCTGCCAGTGTCATGGGTCTTGCCTTCCCTGGCCCGGGCCGTGCAAGTCCCCTGAGGGTCGGGTCGTGCACCGGAGCCCCTGGCCCCCATCCCCCAGGATAGGACAGACCCTGAGTTGGGGGCAGGGAGAGGCACTGGGGTGTCCTCAAGCTTCGGGAGACAGCATCTTTTGCGGGTGACACAGAGCCTGTTTGCTGCCCAGCCCGGGGTCATAATTGCCCCTTTATGCTTCCTGCTCCGCGTGGGTATACAAGGCTGACTCCAGGATCTCGTGACCCACGCCCTGGCGGCCGGCTAGCCTGGGTATCTTCCCACCCCCTGTTATCAAGGCCTCCGAGCCCCCAGAGGCTGCTCAGCAGTCTGTACTGGGCCCAGAGAGGATCATCCACTTTACTGGGATCACACAGTGGCTGGGGAAGGACACGGTCATGTGAGGAAATGTGGGCTCTGGACCCAGGGTCCCGCCCAGCTGGGGGCCTTGGGCTAGTCCCCACTCTGCTGTGAGCCTCAGTGTTGTCATCTGTGAAAGTGGGCATGTGCCTCCCACCAGCTGCCAAGAACAAAGCGTGGACAGTTCGGCGCCTGCCCGGGAGGAAGCTCGATCACTGATGGCTGGGCGGTGGGCAGGGTCCCTCCCTGGCCCCCGGTTCCAGGTCCAGAGGCCATTCTCCACCTTCCCTGAAGCCCAGACTCATTTGCCATCCAAGTTATTCTCCGCAACTCCCACGGGTGGCTGCTCCCTCGTTAGTGGCCGCACCATGGTCTAGGAACTCAGGGATTGCTGCATCATGTGGCCCCAGTGCGCCTGCCTCAGTTTCCCTTTCTTGGCAGTGGCAGGGGTGGTGGCCCAGGCTGCTTTGCTGCAAGAGGGGCAGGGAGGAAGCTTGGCCAGGGCCAACCCAGCCATGTCCCTCCCAGCCCAGGGCTGCCTAGGGCTCTTGATGTCCTGTGGGTACAGTCCATACCTGCGTCTCTGCCCTGATCTTTCTCCTAGAATCTCTGGGTTCTGCTTCTTGCCCTTCCTCAGGCTCCTCCTTGTGCGAAGACACCCTCCCTGTTCCCATTCACCTTTTCGTTCTCAGCCACATAATATTAAATCTGGGCAGAGGGCACAGCACATGCAAAGGCCCTGGGGCAGGAACAGTGAGGGCTGTGTGGCTGGAGCTGAGTGAGGGAGGGGAGGGCAGGGAGGAGACGGGGCAGGTCGTGCGGGGTCTAGGGGGTCAGGGGAGGACTTGGGCTTTTACCCCAGGGAGGGGGGAGCCCTGGAGGACTGTGGGCAGAGGAGGGCGGGACCTGACTCAGGCACCCTCTGGCTTCAGGGGGAGGACACATTGTGGGGGCGAGGGCAGGAGATGGCTGCATTGGTCCTGGTGGGCGATGATGGGGCTGGACCAGGTTGGGATGGAAGAAGGGGCAGGAAATGGGAGGAATCGGGCAGCGCTGAGAGCACTTATATTCTTCCCTGAGCCCTTGCAGGAGACCCCGCCCAGAGTCCTCCAGGGAGAGGGAGGGGCCTGCCTCCAGCATGGCCAGTTCCTCAGGGAGGAGAGGGTCCTGAGAGACCCCAGAACTTTTTCTCTTCCGTGCAGTGCATGACCCTCTCCTCCTCGAGTCTGCCCCCACCTCCCACCCCTGTTCCCTGTGGACCGTCCAGGCCCTGGCAGCCCCCAGCGCTGAGCCCTCCCCTCCTGCCGCAGGCTGGCGTGGCAGATTTGGAGGAGCCTGCGCCTGGATCAGCCCCATCCTGCCCAGACATTGAGAAGGTGTGGGCCCTGCGAGGCGGGGGCTCCGGGAGCGAGGGGGTAATTAGGGGCCACTCTGTTCTGAAGGCGGCTGCCCCTGGCTCTCTTGGGGTGCGGGGAGCGGGGGAGGCGGCTGTGGCTGGAGCAGGAGGTCACCTCTGTGCAGGTGGCCCCTCCCCATGCCTGCATTCTGGGGGAGGACACAGAGGTGGAGCAGGAGGTCCATGGTGCGCCTAGCAGCCCTGAGTGTGAGCCCCCCTGGGCTGCAGGCTTTCTGTGTGGCCTCAGTTTCCCCAGAGGCTCTCTGAGGGCCTGCCCAGCTGATCCAAGTGGTCTGGGCTAACGCCTCCTACTCAGATGTGCCCAGCAGCTGTGCGTCTGTGGGTGGGGCCAGCTGCTGCGGTCACCCTGGCCCCAGCCCCCCAGCCGGCTCGCGCTCTTTTCCTCATCTGGGGTTTCCACCTTCCTCTTGGGCCACTTTCGCTCTTAAAGGGCCCATGGTGGGGGTACCGGCTGGGGATAAGGGGCCGCCGTGCTCTATAGGCTTCTCTTTCCCACCTGCCCGGTACCCGGCCGGTCATGTCTGAGTATGCACCTGGATTGCAGCTATGCGTGCCAGTCTGCGTGTGTCCTTAGACGAGGGGGTCTGACTTGTGTCTCCGTATTTATTGTCTGGCTGATCCAAGTGTGGCGTGCTCCCTACACGGCCCGTCCCTGTGGCCTGACTGCGTGCACACGTCTGAGTCTGAGGTCCGTGCGTTCTGGTTACCTGTCTGCGCACTGTAGACCTCTGATCTGACTCCCGATTTCTATTCGCCTACAGCCCAGGGGTGTATGTGTGTCGTCTCCCTGACCACGACCTGTGTGTGTATCTGGTCGTGCCGTTTACCTATGGTCTCTGCATGGACCCACGTGTCTCTGATTCATCCGTGCCTGTGGTCTGACCGTGGACGTGGATTGTCTGCCCCGTGCTGACCATGTATGCGTGTCTTATTTGACCCTGTGTGTCCGGGGTCTGATTTTGGGCCTGTTGGTGGTCTCTGTGCAAGCTTTATTTGCCTGACTATGCGTGTGGACCCATCTCTGTTGCCCGGCTGTGCAGATACATCTGTGTCTGGTCTCCCTGTCTGTCCGTGGTCTGACTATGTGCAGGTTGAGCACCGCCCCCCCCCCCAATCTGCAACCCTCACCCTCCCATCCTGGCTTCCCCACCCCCAACCCTGAGCCATGACCCGGCCGCCACCAGCCCAGCCTTCTCCTGGAGCCTCTCTGGGTCTGGGCGAGGTGACCGCAGCTGGGTATTTTGGGAACCAGAATCACAGGGGCTGCCCCATCATTATGTGGCACCCATCCCTGTGGTCATGGCCTGGACCCGCCCGGGGCATGGCCTGGGGTGGGTGTGGGGCTGACCCGGCCGTGGAGGCCTCGTCTCTTCCCTGCCTCTCCCCGGCCCCCTGCCCTGGCTCTGGCCACAGCGGAGATTGGGGAGGGGCTTTGGCCCCTGTGATGAGGGGACTCTTCTACCCTAGAAGGGTTCAGATTCTTTTTTTTTTTTTACCCTAGAAGGGTTCAGATTCTTGTGGGAGAAACAGACTCTGAGTGATTAACATTAGCATGTAATTTGCAAACTGGGCTGAAGGCGTGGAGGATGATGGTCTTACTCATTTCTGAGGCTGTGGGATGTGGAATGGGGGGTGGGGGGGAGCTTCTGGAGGAAGTGACAGCTGAGCTGAGAGCTGTCACACAGTGGTGGGGGGACAGCAGTCCCGGCAGAAGGCCCAGCAGGGGCAAAGGCTGGTGGGCAGGACTGAGCTCAGGCAGTGTGGCGACACCTCCACGAGAGGAGGAAGCGAGATCAGCAGGAGCGGCTTCCTCTGGGGGCAGCGGGAGCCACGGAGGCATTAGAACAGGGCAGGGGGCAAGGCCAGGCAGGTGTGTTTGGGGAAGATCTCTCTGCGGGCTGAGCAGGGGCTGAGGCGAGGTGCAGAGACGTCCTTCCGGAGGTCCAGCCTGGGAGGGGAGCAACGGGTATTCAGAGGACCCCTGGAGCTGGTGCTCAGTCCTGGTTGGGCGCTCGGCGGGGGTCTGAGGTCCGGGCTCCATCAGAGCAGAGGCTTACCTGGGATCAGCAGTCAGCCAGGGGCTGGGGGCTGTACAAAATACCGTAGGCCGGGTGGCTTAGAGACAGTGGACATGTATCTCTCACAGTGCTGGAGGCTGGGAGTCCAAGGTCAAGGCGCCGGCAGAGCAGGGGTCTGGGGAGGGCCGCTTCCTGCTTCCCAGCCGGCCCTCCTCCTGCCCTGTGGGGTCTCTTTCATAGGCACCATTCCTGAGGGCTCCACCCTTGTGGCCGAGTCCCCTCCCGAAGGCCCTGCCTCCTGGAGCTGTCACAAGGAGGGTGGCTTTCAGCACAGGGATGTGGGGGGACACAGGCCTTCAGCTGGGGCTCAGCACTTTCCTTCTGCCTCATCATCGCCCCGTGATCCCCCCATTGTCCTGCGACCCTTTCTCCCAACCCCATGACTCTCCTCCACCCCTCTGTGAGCCCCCCGCTGCCTCCTCCACGAAGGCCCCCAGACTGCCTCTCTCCCCTCTGATGGTGCCTCCGTTGTCTCTGCAGAAGCTGCCCCGTCTGACGCTCGGCGGCTCGGCGGCTCGGCTGGCTCGAGGCCTCTTTGCGAGGGACTGGGGGGGGGGGGCCGTCCCCCTCCAGGGCGGAGGCCGGAGGCTGCAGGTAGCTGCCAAGCATGGCGCCTGCCTGGGGTCCCGGCGTGGCATCTGTGGTTGGTCCCATCGGCCTCCTCGTGGTCCTGCTGGTCGGAGGCTGCGCAGCAGAAGGTAAGAGTCTGTGCGGGACGTGTGGGTTTCCGAGTCCGTGTTTACGTGTGTGTGAGTGCACATGTCCCCACCTCCTCCCTGGGGCCCCTGGTGTTGCCAAGCAGAGCCTCTGTGCTCCACGAAGGAGGCCGAGCGAAGTGCCTACTGGGCGCTGGTCCTGGGAGGCTCAGAGGCCAATAATAACGATGGTATTAAAAGCAGTAACAGTAATGATGGTGATGGTGACGGTGATGGCTGTTTCCCCAGAGTCAGCTCCGTACCATGGCCATTGCTTAATCCAGACTTTGCCTGTTTCACCTCTCTCCAGCCTCCTAACGCTGAGCCGGCTGGTTCCATTGCCTTCCACGTTTTCCAGTGAGAGAAACTGAGGCTCAGAGGGGGCAGGGACTTACTCGAAGTTCCAGAGTTCACCTTCCCTTGCCACACGTAGAAGCACCAGGGCCCAGGTGGCAGATACACAAGCAACCAGACCTTCCCAGGTGGAGCCAGGAGAGGCTTCTTGCGAGAGAGGGCATTGGAGCTGGGGCTCTGTGGGTGTGTAGGAGTTTGCTGATGGAAAGAGCATTACTGGTGAAGGTGCTAGCCCACAGAAAGGTCTGGAGGTGAAGAAAGGGGTTGGTGTAGTTTGGGGGTGGGTAAGGCTTTGTTTCTGGCCATAACATGGAAAGGATGAGGGTCAGTTCTGGGCCCAGTACCAAGACTGAACCTATGACGGGCGGCCTAGAGGAGGTGTCACTCAGGTCCATGGGGACACACAGGGTCAGGCCAGCAGGAAAGAAACTGGGATCTCTTAGTTTGGGTTTAAATCCTGACTTGGCCATCAACCTGCTGTGTGGCCTTCGGCTAGTGACTCAACTTCTCTCAGCTGCCATTTCCACCTTGACTGAATGAGACTCATAACATATCCACACCCCAGCATTCCTGAGGCAAAGACACACAATATTGCTTCCTGGCACATAGTAGGCTCACAGTCCCATGCTCCCATGAGGACAATAATTATGGCTGCTGGGCAAGAACACCAGAGACATGCACGCTTGCCTTAGGGATTCTTGCTTTTTCCCGTTTTCATGTTGTTTTTTAGTAGATGCCGAACACATTCAGATCAGCCACCACAGCCTGATGGGATGAATGCTGTTCTCATCGTTCCCATTGTACAGATGGAGAAACTGAGCCACAGCAAGGTTTCATGACAGCCAGGAAGTAGCCACACTGAGATTTGAACCCGGGCCACGTGGTGTGAGAGCCCAGGTTCCTGACCATCACAACCACACCGCCTTCCAGGCCTGTAGCCAGCCGTGACTGGGCTGTGATCTGTCCAGTCACTTTGCCAGGCCTGTGCCTTCCTGGGCTCTGTTCCCCACAGTGGGAACAGCAAGCCGAAGGCGACAAGCATTTTAGCGTTTCATTCATTCATTTAATGCAGGGTCAGATTGTTCACTGGGGTGGGGCATCCTGGGCACTGTGGGGGGGGGTCAAGCAGGATCCTGACCCCACCCATTTCATGCCAGGAGCACCCCCAGTTGTGATGACCACAGACGTCTGCAGGCAACAATGCCTCACCCACCCCAGGGTGAGAATTGCTGGTTTAACTTACACTGGTTGAATAAATAATATGTTTACTCCTTTGACATCTTGCTCCAGGCATAATTACCAGCCGTGGGGAAACTAAGGCTGCCAGACCCGAGGCCCATTGTGGTTGAGAGGGGCCACAGGATTTGGAGACTGCCTTGGCCTGGGTTTAAATCCCGGCTCTGTCATTTGACCACAGCGACTTGTGGTCTCATTCATTCAGTGCGTCTTTAATAAGCATCTACTTTGTGTTGGGCACTGGGTTAGCCACAGGGGACAAAACAAACATCCCACCCCTTTACGGAGCTCATAATCTAGTGAGGGAGAAGCACTAAGTGTGTCGGATGGTGGACATGCTGGGGATGTGGGTGTGAGGTGAGGGTTGGGGGCTGCATTGTAAAGGTGTGGGAGAACATCAGGGAAGGTCGCAGCGAGGTGGCATCTGGGCAGAGACCTAAAGAAGCTGAGAAGAACACCCTATGAGTATCTGGTGGGAACTCCCAAGCAGAGGGAACAGTATGTGCAAAGGCCCTGGGGCAGGACCCAGGCGTGTTGGAGGAACAGACAGGGGGCTCGTGTGGCTGGAGCAGGGTGGGTGAGGGGGAGAGAGGGAGGAGGAAAGGGTAGGGAGGGGCCGGAGCAGATCGTGCAGGGCCTTGGGGGCTTCAGAGAAGACTTGGGCTTCTGCCCCAGAGAGGTGGGAGCCCTGGAGGGGCAGTAGGCAGAAGAGGGTGGGACCGAGATTCGGGTACTCACCGGCGCTCTCTGGTGGTCGTTTTGGGGAGCACAGCCCGGGGGTCGAGGGCCTGAGCTGCGGGACCAGGGCGCAGGTGACGCTGCTGGTCCAGGTGAGCAGGGAGAGAGGGTGGTCCAGGATATTAGCACCTGGTGTGCAGCTGGAGCAGGCCCAGTGGGTGCCCCCGCAGTGAGCCCAGGAATTACTATTGCTGTACGGTGCTGCCCTATACTCAAACCCAGGCCCGCCTCTCTCAGGCCGCGGCAGCTTGCCTCTGAAAGTGGATCTGTGTCACAGGAGCTCCGTCATCTGGGACCCACCATGCTTTGTGCGGCCAGCTTCGGGGGATGGCCCCGGCCCTCGGGGAGCCGTGGAGGGTGGGGGCCGTCAGGCCACAGAGAGCCCACGTGGGCAGCTGAAACCACCAGCCAGCGCCAAGAGGAGCGATTTCTGCTCTAGAAAGGGCCTCGGGTCCGCTGGTGCCTTCCCAGGAGGCCGTGGGGCTGGCCCAGGCGGGGTTGGAGGGGACAGGCGGGTGGGTTTCCGGCGCTGGCGCTGGATTCTCCTCTGCGGAGTCTGGGGTGGAAAAACGGAATTCGGCCAGGGCTCCCCCAGCCTCCATGCTGGTAGCATCACCACCCTGAACTAAGACCGGGGGACACCTGGGGTGCGCTCTCAGTGAGGAGGACCCACAACCCTATTTATCGAATGTGCCCCTTCCTGGCATAGGTCGCCGGATCGGGCCCGGGGGGGATCGTAGCTCCCATCCGTCCTGAGCTGGGTGACCCTGCACACGTCCCTCACCCTCCCTGACCCCTCGTTTTGCTTCTCTGTGTCCCGGGTGCAAGAACAGCGCTGAGTGCCACCTGGCCCAGGACAGACGGGATGGTGGCTCCCCACAAGTGACTGCCATACCCCAGGGTGTCTTTCTTGGGTCGGGGGTCCCTTTGCCAAGAAGAGGAGGGGCGGGTTCGTCCAAAGGAGAGAACCCAAGCATCCACAGGGAATTTTCTAACGGGGGTGCGGGGAGCGGACAGAGCTCTTCCAGCCTGTCTGTGACCCCAGAGCCACCTGGAGATGGGCTGAGAAGACATCAGCCCTGCAGAGAGGGGGATCTCAGGAGCGAGTGGGCTGTTTCACTGGGTCCGGTGTTAGGTGGCTGTCAAGGGTCACCAGAGAGGTGTGGTGGGGGCCTGAGGACCCCGTGCCCACCCTGAATGGCACATAACCAGCTGTTTCGGCGCAGCATGATCAAAGCTGTGATGGGGGATGCCCAGGCAGTGGTGGGGACCGACCGAGGAGCTCCTAACCCAGCCTGTGGTAATCTGAGAAGGCTCCCCAGGGGAGGTGCTGGCCTAACTGAGGTGGAAGCTGCCAGATGAAGGGAGGAGGAAGGGACTCCAGCAGGAAGGAACAGCAGGGGCCCCCGCCATGTCTCCTCCCCCGGATCTGATCGGAGTGTGCTGGGGGTGTGTCCCAGCTCAGAGCCATAAACAGGCAGCTGGATGCCTCCTGGAGCTCACTTCTGCCCTTCCTTCCAGGGGCTCCTGAGAGAGGATTTTCCCCAATGAGATTCCTGACCCGGCCACAGTGACTTTCCTCCATGACATCAGCTGGGGACATGCATGGCCCCAGTCGCCATTCCTGAGGCTTGGAGGAGGGGGCCGCCCAGGCAGGCAGAGCCAGGGAGGTGGGCCCAACCCAGGGCTCCGTGCACAGAGTAAAACATCCCCATCAGGCTCAAGGCCTAAGACACGTGCCTATGGAGAGAAAGACCCAGGGTCAAAGGCGGGTGCTGTCTCCCGGGGCCGTGTGGCCTCAAGCAAGCTTCTCCACCGTGAATCTGCACATGATTAACCTCCACAGCTTTGCAGGGGTGCACAGGAGTGGAATGAGGCCGCACATGCCTGCGCACAGTGGGTCTACTGATTTTAGAAGAGATGGACCACCAGTAATATCTCACAGGGTCAGATCGGTGGGAGCGGAACCTCGAGGAAGGGAGGTGAGGCCGCTCAGGCCACTGGGATGGGCTCCCCGTTTTGTTCAAAGAATGATTTGAAGAAATAATTTCCATTTACCTTTAAACAGTTGTAAATCTCACAAAGGTACCAAGTAGGAAGCCTCCCCCGCCACACCCCCGTGTCCAGCCACCCGGTTTCTCTCCCGCGGCAGTCTTCACTTCTACACGTGCGCGTGCGCGCACTCTCCCCACCCCCCTGCCCCCTGGTTCTCTGCCCCCCTCTGATTTTTTTTTCACGTGAACAGTAATATCCGCTATACTCTACCCCTCGCTCTTTTGCGTCTTACACTATCTAGATCTTGCTGTTCCTGCGCTAGTAGTTAGGAAAGCGCCCTCGTCCCTTTGTGCTGCCCAGCATCCCGCTCCGGGGCAGCCCCGAGGACATGCAGCCCGTCCCCTTTCGTTGGATAGCTAGGTTGGATAGCTAGGTTGTTTCCGGAAGGACCTCGCCAGCCCGCTGCAGCCCTTGAATCTGTCAGTAAAAAATCTCAGGAGTCGCTGACTTCACTTCAGGGGCCCCGTTGTAGCCTCACCGTGAGTGGAGATCCAGTATCGCTTTAGGCCGTCCAGCGGTCACCGTGAAAAGTCAGTAACGAGAGAGCAACGGGAATGTACTTCCACAGGAGTGCTACTAAAGTGCAAGGTGGAGGCTGTCAGGGGTTAAAGACCCGGTAGGCCCCACTCGAGACTCCCCGGGAAGGGCCAAGAATGTGGGCACGGAAGCCAGCCCGGTTCAAATCCCGGCTCAGCCACCGGACGGCTGGCTGTGTGTGTCCATGCAAAGGCTTTGCCTCTCTGTGCCTCAGTTTTCTTGTGTGTCGAATGGGGACCCTGGGGCCCTGCGCTCAGCACCATCAGAGGGTCACATGTTACTGAGCTACACCGCTGAATACACTAGGTGCTTAGTAAGTGCTTGCTTTGATGGTTGTCAGCATCTTAAGCCTGGGGAAGCTGGATCAACCTTTCTGAGCTCCTGCCTCTGGCGCTGGCCCCTCAAGTCTGGACGCCTCCCATGGATTAAGAGGCTGGAGCCCTGGGTTCCAATGCGGCCTGTGACCTCAGATCCCTTGGTCACCCCCTGCTTCCCTGTTTGATGCCTCAGTTTCCCCACATGTCCCACCAGGGGATTATCTCCTTGCAAGTCTTTTCCAGGCCAAGGACGCTCCAGGGTTTGGCTGGGCACCCCACGGGGGGCTTCCAGGCACAAAATCTGAGGACCCCAGAGTCTTGGGGGAGGGCTCCCCTTCCACCATCCTCTGCGGCCCATGTGAGGTTGGAAGCACATGTGAGCGTGTGTGGCTGTGGTCTCGGGGCTGGGCATGGGGAGGGAGGGTGTGTTTGTATGGGCCCGTGGGCTCCTGGCTTCATGCCTGGGCCCACCAGACCCCTCCTCTTCCTGCTCTATCTCCAGAGCCCCCCAGGTTCATCAAAGAACCCAAGGACCAGATTGGTGTGTCGGGGGGTGTGGCCTCCTTCGTGTGTCAGGCCACGGGCGACCCCAAGCCACGGGTGACCTGGAACAAGAAAGGCAAGAAGGTCAATTCCCAGCGCTTTGAGGTGAGTCAGGGGTGAGGGGAGACGGTCTGGGGCCAGCAGCCACTCCCCAGGTGGGGCCACAGCGGCTCAGCCACGCTCAGCCACAAACGTCACAGAAACATCTCCCGGCTATAACACGGGGGTGGGGGTGGGCAGGCCAGGCTGCCACCGTCTGCGGCCCAGTCAGCTCTCACCCCTTCCCTGCCATGCGCCCCACCTGCCTGTTCGGTGAGGGCCCGGCCAGGCTGGGTTGCTCTGCTGGCCATGTGCCGTGTGCCTCGAGCAAGGCCCCACCCTCTCTGTCCCATCTCGCACGTGGAGCCTTACACACAACTCCAGAACACGCACACGATCGGATGTACACGTTTCTGCGGCCAACATGCCTTCACACGCCTGTCACACAGACTTGCCTGTGCTGCTCACACACCCACGTACACACAGGCTCTCCTACCTGCACGGGCCTGGGCCCCATTTCTGCCTGCAGTGCGTTTGCACAGGACGCCCACCCACGTGGACGGTACATCCCCAGCTCCTCTGCCAGCCACCCCGGGGACCTCAGCCTCACCCTGCTCTCTCTCCCCTGCCCGTGGCAGACAATCGAGTTTGACCAGAGTGCGGGGGCCGTGCTAAGGATCCAGCCACTCCGGACCCCCCGGGATGAGAACGTGTACGAGTGCGTGGCCCAGAACTCCGTCGGGGAGGTCACGGTGCATGCCAAGCTCACTGTCCTCCGAGGTACTGGGCTCCCTGGGGTGGGTGGGGGAGGAACCAGGCCCCGGGTTTTAGAATCATTGAAAATGTTGCTTTGGATTTCCTCTTTGGGGGACCTTTACACCAGTGCGGCCCAGAGCCTACCAGTAGGGATTTAGTGAGCCTTTGCAGGCAAGAGAGGCGTTAAGGGACTAGTGTCATCC